ATTTAGTTGCTTGCTACCTGAAGTTCTCTAAGTGACTTACAACACATTTAAAGAAAATTAATATAAATACTACACTATACCATAAAAAGAAATCAATCCCCATAATAATCGCAGGAAACTTTGGCAGCATACTAGTGGCGAAACAATATACAGTGGTACCTCAGGTTAAGTACTTAATTCGTTCCGGAGGTCTGTTCTTAACCTGAAAATGTTCTTAACCTGAAGCACCACTTTAGCTAATGGGGCCTCCTGCTGCTGCCGCACCACCAGAGCACGATTTCTGTTCTCATCCTAAAGCAAAGTTCTTAACCTGAAGCACTATTTCTGGGTTAGTGGAGTCTGTAACCTGAAGCGTATGTAACCTGAAGCGTATGTAACCCGAGGTACCACTGTAATAGCCTGTCAAAGGGCCTAGAGGAAAAGGTAAGGGCGCCAAAAAGATTTCAGTGAAGGTTCCAGACAGACCTAACTGGGGAGAGCATTCCTCACATGGGGAGCCACAACTGAAAAGGCCCTCTCCCTTGTCACCACTCTCAGGCTTCCTCAAAGAGGGTCCTGGAGAAGGTTTTGCAAAATAAGATCTACGTGTTTAGGAAGATTTGTATTGGGAAAGGCATTTCAGAAGTTATTGGGGTCCTGAGTTTCTTTTTTCCCAAGTACAAGGTGCTGGAGAAATAGCAGTGTTTTGACAAATACAGAAGCTTGAATAGATCTAGATGAGACCAAAGGAAAGCAAGTAAATGACACAGCCCCTGTCCCCAGTCAAGATCAGGTCAAGGTAGACACCCACATTTCCAAAGCAATAAAACAAAACAAAAAAGTGGCCAGCATTTCAACCCACAGGATGGCTGGTGACAATGGATCATTTTATCGTCAAGAGATGGGCTAATTGAGAAATACATTTAACTGCTGGAAATAAGATCATTATAGAGAACGTCATCATGCGCATGATATTTTGGAAGAAGTCAGGAAATAAAAGTGCAGCTGAAAGCACAATGTATGGTGGGCTGCACATATGCATTTGTCCTTGTGCACATTCAGAAACAATTACGTGTTTTGCATGATAGTCTCATCTTATGTATATTTTGTTACCTTCTAGAAACTAAATATATTTTCTTGCTCCAGATGTGATGCTTCAGGCATTTCAGGGAACAACCCCTGAATGTTTTGAAAAGGATAGCATTTGTGCTGAATTCTGTATATTCAATTTCCCAAACACTTCCTTACACTGATAGGCAACCTAAATAGTGTGCATTTAAAGTTGTAACTGTTTATTATCCATTACAGAAATGTTGTCATCCGATCACACGCATACACACACCTCTCCAAAGAACCAAAATTCTAAGTAGGGGATGACTGCGAAGACAGCAGCAGTGTGTTTACTCACATGTTCCCACTCTAATACAGAATTCAGTCACAAAGAAATCATCAGTAACTCCATCCACATCTAAGATTATCAGGGAGAGAATGAAAAGCAGCCATTTTAACACTTTTGTTCCCCATGAGTGCAATCTGCAAAACTGAAGTGCTTTGAATTCCCAAAGCTCCTGTAAAATTCCCTGGCATCTCTAGGTGAGGCTGGGAATATCTCCTGCCTGAAATCTGGAGAGCTGCTGGCAATAAGTGAAGATAAGGCTGAGCTAGGAGGACCAGTGGTCTGAGGAAAGGATGAGGAAGCTTCTTACATTCCTAATGACATGTTTAATAGTGCAGCCCCATGCACAGAAATAAGCCCCATGTGAAATGCATTGCTGCCTAAATCTTCCCCTAAATCTTTCCCTTTAAAATCCATGCTGGGGTCCTTAGCTTTGGCTGGACTGTGTCAAATAGCTTTGGCTGGACGTGTGTCCCGTCCCCTCAATACCTAGATTACAGATCCAAGAGAAAGCAATTCATCATCTGAAACATAAATGCAAAACTTGAAAGCTGTAAACATTCAGTGCTCTTCTAATACATACTGTCCTTGGACTATGGTTTGATGTCCTAGTCGAGAGTCTCTATAGATCAATTCCTTCAGCACTTGACAACACAGTCAGTTGCTTTGCCCCCCCCCAACAATCTCTCTGGGTGATAGCGTTGCATATTCTCCTCCAAGGAGCCTTTATTTCATGGTTCGTTTGACTTGGCTTTCCCTGATTTTCTGCTAATGACTTTAAATATTGTGCACAGTCCTCTGGGCCTTCATTTGACTAAACTTCACAAAACTTTCACGCTGAACTCCTGAGGATCCTTTCAATACACACTCTGGATGGTGACTTTCGTCTTCAAACTTTTCTCTTCAGTCAGCTTTGAGGCATATTGGAAAAATTCTTCTGTGAACTCACTGATTATGATTAGCCATTTTCTCATGTTTGGAGATCACTTAGGATTATTTTGTTTTTATTCTTTTGCAACTTCTACAAACCCATCATGATTAATCTTCTGCTAACCCAGAAGCTCACCCCATATTCAAGAAAAGAAAACATATTCAATCCATAGCTCAGTGGGAGAGAATCTGCTTTGCATGCAAAAGATTCTACCTTCAACCAGTTTTATTGGGAATCTTTAGTAAAAGGACAGGAAAAGATCTGGGCCTGAGACCTTGAAGAGTCACTGGTACTACTTAGTTACACAGAACTCAGTTATATTGATCACTGGCCAGAGGTGGTAAAACACATTATGTTTGTGCTTCACGAGAATCTCATACCCTCCAATATTTCTCCAATGAAAATAGGGCCATCCTAAAGAAAAGCGGGAGATTATGGGATCAAATCAGAAACTGGGACAGCTTCTGTAAATCCAGGACTGTCCCTAGAAAATAGGGATACTTGGAGGGTCTGTAATCTAAGCTTTGCTTATCTAGATTTATGTATGCTTTCCTTTCCTGTTTTGCCTTCTGTCTCTTCCACATTTGCAAAAGGAAAGGAAAGGAAAGGAAAGGAAAGGAAAGGAAAGGGGGAGGCATGAAATGTAAAGCACATTCCAATAAAAAGAGCTCATTCTCTTACCCACAGATAACAAACTGACCCAGTCCCAGGGCTCTGGACATTTTATTGTTACCAAAGCTAAATCACACACACGCAAGCAGTATTCTCAATATAGACACAGTTGTGAAGCTAGCAGGCCATTAACTTTTGGTCAAGAAGGATGAAGTTCCACCAGGGAGCTGCTTGAGCTGTGATGGAAACAGAGGTCTCCCCCAGAAAGTTGAGCTAAGAGCTGATATTCCTTGCCATTTTTGGGAGGCAGACAGGTTTGGGCATGCGTTGGAGCTGGCTGCTACTGCTTTATGAACAGAACAGCTTGCAATGAAAAGCTGTCATTTTTTCTCAGGGTGTGTAGAACCAGTTAAACTAGTACATCATACCATAGAACCAGTATCTATCACAGAAGCAGCTGTGATGTATTGGCACTTAAAGACCTTTGATTTCAGCCTAAGGGAGTGGTGAAGGAATTAACAGTTGTGTAGCTGTAAAAACAAAACAAAACAAAACAAAACAAAACAAAACAAAACAAAACAAAACAAAACAAACAAAACAAAACAAAAACATAGATTTAATATATATATTTATATGTTTTGGCAATTTGTAGTTATAAGTGGAGACCCACATAAAATGCTGTTGATTGTGTGTTTCTGTGTATACCTTCTAAACTCCCTTTTTTACTTTTAAGGACACACACTCACAAGCAATACTCATATGAACATGCTTCTCAGACATGCCACTCACATGCCAGTGTCATAAACACACATTTCCACACATGCTTGACCAACACTGCGCTAGAGCTGCCTGCTCTCTTCTCTGCTGAACTCATTCCCACCAACGCTACACTGCGCCATCTGTTCCTTGGCAATTCGAAGAGGCAGTTTTAAAAGTAGTTCTGTGCAGTTGGAATGTTTATAGCCGTCCTGTAACACAGCGACTTGAGCCAGTGACTATTCATTCAACGAAAGCTGAAGCTCTCATATAAGCAATAGGGATGGGGATTTCAATGACTGCAATCCGCATTTACCCCAGGTTTCTATAACATTTTGTCAAGTTTATCTAATATTTGGGTGCAAATCGACAAGACCACTGCATTTCTGCAAATCTATCTAAACAGTATTTTATAGCACAACCCTGTTCATGTTTTCTCAGAAGTTAACCACACTGAATTTAATGGAATTTATTCTCAGCTAAGTGTGTACAGGATTGTGGTTTTTGTTTGATTTCTCATTTCTTTGAGCATGGTTCTCTAAAATATTTCTCCAAGCTAGCTTTCGCTTCGTATCTGAGTTGCTTGAAATTTGTCCACTGTGATCTTTGGATTATTTCTGCCTTTTATTCCTTTTTGTCTCTGCCCCCCCCCCATTGTGGCAATAGACTAAAATTCTTGATACCATTCTGATTTTAAATGACCATTTAGTTCCTTCCATTCTTCTAGCACTCATCAATCTTGCTTCCGCTAATAAAGATTTTTAAAAATAAAATACCTTTGTCTGAGAGGTCCTGGCCCTCTTCATCTTCCTAAAGTCCTAAATGCTTCTTCAGATAAAGCAGGGCACTTGTTGAAAACATTCTTGTTTAGACAAGCCTACCCAGATATTTAGAAAGTAGAAGTAATTTTAATCTGTTTTAGTATTTCAATGTTTGTATGTTTTGTTGTGAATTTTTCATGATTTTCTTGTTTTGTCTTTTGGTGACCTGCTTTGAGGGGTGTTTTTGTTTTTTTACGATCAAGCGGTATATAAATTTTATGAACATATATATATATTTTAAAAAAGACACAAGGGCTGAAAATTGTATGGAAGCCTTACTCTGCACACGAATAGCTTTAGCACTTCTGTAAGAGAGTTGGTTGTGGCCACACCATTCTATAAACATCAAAATGCCTATTTTGAGGTTACGCCTCACCACAGAAAACATGTTCTGAGGCAGAGACGCCAGCTTGGGCCCAAGCTGGGGGGAGGGGGGGAACAGACAGTGTCGTGTCACTCACACGACGTCATGTGTGCATCTGTGATGTCACATGAGCGATGGAGCCTGCCACTGATGCTGCACCACGTTTGGCTTGGCCTCCTCAGCACCTCTCAATATCGGTGTGTGTGTGTGTGTGTTAAACAATATGGAGGAGGCTGAAGACACCTCAGCCCCAAGGAGTTGGCACCTATGTTCTGAGTCCCCACTGAGGTAAATTACGGTTAAATGGAAACCCTGAATGAGGGATTCTAAAATAGGCACATTCACATATGAAAGGAAAGGGCTTTGAATGCAAATTCTCTTCCTATGGTACAGAACGTGGATGGGGCCCTCCAGATGTTGTTGGATTCCAGTTCCCATTATCCCCCATAGCCAGCATATCCAATAGTCAGAGATGAAGGGAGCTATAAACTGGCAACATTTGGAAGACCATAAGTTCCTCACTCTTGCTTTAGAAGTGTGTCAGGGTGTCTCAGTCTAATTTACCTCACAGATCTGATGCGACTATGGATGGGCGTGACCATGTACCCCGATTTGAACTCATTGGAGGAAAGGGAGGATGTTACTGTGATAATAAATAAAATAAAATGAATACATGGGCCCCTTTCATTTAATAAGAAAATGTCTTCACACTTAAAGAAAAGGGGAAAAAGCTGAAGAAGCATTAGACTGCTGACCTATGAGATGTTTTAATACCCATTAATATTTCATCATTGTTATGCTGAAGAAATACTGAGGGAAAAGATTTTTTTTTTTAGTAATAAAAAAAGCTCACCATATTCTTATCATTCTGCCTGTGGGCATAATGCTCTAGCAAAAATCTTTCATGGGAGAGATAATTACAAGACAACGGTAGAGAAATTTGTGTTATAGCGTACATGAATGCTCTGGTGTGTTGGCCTGTCTGCTCTTGGCAGCACTGGGGTTGACTTGGTTTTCACAATTACATTTCCTTCTGGGGAACAGGAAGAGGAGGTGGTGTTCTGTTAAAGTTGCTCATATTTTACACCCCTGAACAAGGGGAATTGAGAACGCTTGAGAAGCTTTCAAACTCAGATGTTCCCCCACCTCTCTCTATTCACACAAATATTATACACACATATCTGTGTGTGTGGCTCAAAGTACTTTAGATACTTACACAATAGACAGAAAATTGAAAATTGGTACATGTGCAATTCTGCTGCAAATTTTACCTCATAAATATTGTCCATCTAAGCTGGACGTGTCACAGGAAATGGAGGCACTGGATTTTGCCCTGCACATATTTTAACAATATTAAGACTGGAGGAGGACAAGAATGTTTTCTGTGCCAGCAAAGATCATTGATTTATTGGAAAATTATCTCTTCTATTCAAAGCATGTGCAGTGCATACAAAAAATGAACCACCAACAAGTTAGATATAATTACCTGTCCATGTCATTAAGCAAGTGTCTATACCTGCAAAATTCCTCAGGGGTGCATATTTCCCTCTGACTTCTCAATGAAAACCCTGGTTCTTGCTTTGCTCATCTCCCCCACCTTAACTATCACATTCTCCTTCTCTCTGGCCTTCTGTTGTCATTGTAGCCCTTGGCCAGTATATATTTATTTCAGGAATCAGGGACGGAGAACCTTTGGTACCCCAGGTTTGACTACCAGGTTTGACTGTTTGGTGGGGTTATTGTTTTTGTTTGTTACTATGGCATTCATTTCTGTGCTTTTTATATTGTAATCCGTACTGTGATCCTCTGAAATTTAATAAAAGCTTGCATGTGATTTCGCAATGTTTTGGTTGAGGAAAGAAAGGCATTGCTTTAGCATGGATTTTTGAAGTCCAAATTATTCTCTCCATTTTCAGGGGCTCACAACTGTGCCTGGTGCATTACAGGGTCCAGCTACGTGAGATGCAGGGAATGCTGTAGGATGATAGGACTCCTGAGTGAGAAGTGCTTTCATTCTCTGCCCCACCCTGGTTCAGTTTTGCAGTGCTGCCAAGTTGCATGCCTTGTGCAGGATTGCAAAAGTGGACCAGGCCCTATTGCTCCCAGGTTTTCCCAGCAGTGCCCAATGTCCATGAAAATGTCAGAACTACCTTTCAATAATTGCACCCTAGTTTACTGTACACTCAACAAACATTGAGTGCTTAGCACAGTACCCCCTTCAGGTTGGCACCCAGGGAGAGGGTTTCGTTTATCCATCCTTAAGGCTGGCTCAGTGGAGGAGATTTAGAAGGCTTTTGAAAACTCCCTTTTTCAAATCAGTTATTTCATTGCAGGGACTGTTTTGCTTCACCTTGTTGCTGAGATCTTCCTTAAGGTGTGGAATGGAAAGGATGGCAATGGAGAGAGAAAAAAGCAGAGAGGAGACAAGATTTCAAGTGTCTTGTTGATTGGAGTGGAAAGGAGGGCATGGATGTCACAGTTCCTGCAGCTGAATTACTGGTGGGGAATCTACCCATAAGAGTAAGGGAAAGGAATGGAGTCTGTGCATGTGTGTGTGTGTATGTAGCACTACAGCTAATTTGAACATCAACAAATCAGTCAAATGATTTTTGGCTAATGTTTAACATCGTTTCTTACTTGGGAAATGCCTAAGCTCCCAGCAGGCATTTATTTTAGATCTGTTGATCAACCCAGAAAATCTGGAAAACAAGGATGTTTTATACGTGGAGTATGTGTCTGTGTCACTGTGTAGTAGACACAGCATCACCACCATTAAGGGAAAAAGTCCCCACCCTTTCATTCTATTCAAAAGGAAGGCCTGTGAGGACTAGAAAAAAGAGGATACTGTCTCTTTATGAATACTAATAAGGAAATCAAGGGGGGGACGAATGGCACTTCAAGTTTCATCTTTCCATTTCCTAGAGGCGCAGACTCTGCGAGTTGTCACCTTGGTGTATTCAGTGCCTCTTGAAGCACTAGACTCCTCCAGAGAGAATGTCAGCCCCAGCCCAGGGCAGTTTTGACAAACAGAGTATATATTGATACATGATAAAGTATGCTAGAAATCACCCCAGCGCTAAAGGCTACTATAGTTTTAATATCATCATTTGAATTAACAAGCATTCTGTGGAGAAATAATGAGCTTTCATTATTCAGAACATCATCCTTACCGGGGGAACTCAGAAACCATTAGCTCTTGAGAACTTAATGAAAAGATGATAAAGAATGTTTTTTAGATAAAAGTTTGAACGGGCGCACTTGGTAACTGAAGTAAAATATTAATGTTTCTTTGGATGATGAATTGGCGTTGCGGAGCTCCGGTGTTTCCGAGGGAAAGGTGGTGCACGCAGGTGTTTTTGGACTGTCTCACACCTGCATGGGAACCCCAGCAGAAGCGGCTGAAGGCTTGTCAGTAACTTGTCAGTGAAAGCTGCATGTGAAGCTTAGAAATCTCCGGGATAGATGCCCTGGAAAGACATGCTGCATATTCAGTAATGTATCTAATTATTCATACTAGTAGCAGTTCTGGGGGTGGGGTGGGGAATGGCGATAGCGGGCCTTCAGGGTGTGAAAAATTACACAAGCCACATTCAGAACAAACAGTTTACTTCAGTTTAACATTATTTTATACCTGTATTGGTCTGTACCCACCGTAAAGCTCAGTTCGTAATAGTGCGGCCCCTAAGCAACAATTCCTTGGTTCCCCTCTCCATATCACCTCAGTCCCTCACGAATCATATTGTTCTAATGACTGAATTGACAGGGAGAGAAAGGACATAAGCACTGCCATAAAAAATAATATAATCACAAATTCAAGGGGACCTATAGGGGCCTAACCTATAGAGGAGAGTTTGTTGTTGTTGTTTTAAAAGCATATACCACTGCATAGCCCCAGTAATGTAAACATTAGGTCCGGGAGAGGAGTTAAATCAAATAACGGGGGCAACTTCTGCATTGCTAAAAAGAGAGAGGGCAAAAGTGGACACAGATCAGCACAATTCTAGAAATAATCTATATGATTTAAATTGAAATACAACACATTGCTCCACAGTAGGGTGAAACTGTGGAAAAAACTCAACGTAGCACTAAGCAGATCGCTCTGTCAGTGCAAACATTTCTGCTTGCCTGATGGAACAATCTGCCCTTTCCTTCCCCTGAGTGCTGTCCTGGGTGTTCTCCTGACCACCCTCCTCCATGTCAGTTTGGGGGGCAAGGGGGAAGAAAGGCGGGGAAAACCCTGCTGCACTAGCAAAAGCCCTTGCATGTCTTTCCGCTGGTGGAGCTTGGTAGTTGGACCTCCTTGTGGCTTGTGTGCCAGCTTAGTCTGCTCTCCAAGTGTTGGTGGGCAACATCAAGACCCCTGCTTTTCCTTCTTAAGAGTCTTCCTCTTAAAACTGGACAGACTGAGTAGCCCTTTGAACAGATGATTGTCCTTTGTGAAGGAGTTCACATGGCCATCGTATGGGCATGATGAAATGCAGAAACTACTTCCAGAAAGTTGTGAACTGGAGATAATAAAGACAAGCCTGCAGAACAGGCACAGTATTTTGGATTTTTTTTTGCAAAGTGCATCACATTCTGAGCTTTAGAACACTGGCCTTCAACTGGGGGATCGGGACCCACTTAGTGGGACATGGCCTGATCCAAGGTGGGTCTCAACAGGAGCACTACCACCATGCATATAAATGGCAAAAGATTAAGAAAGGGGTTCCCAAATGCACGTTTGGGTTAAAAGTGGGTCCTGGGTCTTAAAAGGTTGAAGATACCTGATTTAGAATATCTTGAAAGTTGCAACAAAACATGAAGGGAGAGCACTGCTAATTCCTAAAGAGGAGCATCCCTGTGCCCTGTTTGTTGGTGCAAATAGATGTACAATTTTTGCTGTTCTTTCCCCAGCATAGCTCTCTCTGTCACAGAGACAATGGCTGCTTGCACTTTAGTAAGCGGTGTCCAGAATAAACTTTGAGATCACCCTTTACATTTTCACATAGCACAATCTTCCTCCTTGAGGAAAAAACACTCTCTCACATTGCCCATAATATAGGGTTGCCATCTATCTGTGTGGAACTCGCTGAAATGTCTGGGAAAATCCAGACGTATGGCAGACAATGTTGGCAGTGTAGATTTTGGCAAATTTCATTAAAAATAGCTCAAAATCTTTGGTCAAAAAAAGAAAAAAAAAGAGAAAGCTCCACAACTTTTGTGTCAGGGGCGAATGGAGCTAATCGCAAACTAGCAGCAAAATGTTCTCTCTGTAATGATCACAATCCAATACAGAGTCAATAGATTTGCCTTTGAATGTGAATTGAATCAAATTCCACCCTCCCCCACAGTCAATAATAAAGGTAAGATCCATGTTGCTCTGCAAACGAAATAAAAATGCCATTCAAAAATGATGGATCCTGAAGTTTCGCGCAGAAAGCATTGAAATATTTTGGCTGGGTTGGTGTACTTTTGGAAATTCTCTCTGGGTGGCTAGCAACGTTTCTGCAATAAAACACACACACACCTAAAACGTCACGCAATAAAGGTAGGAAAAATATATATAAAAGTCTGGATGTTATTGGGTGTGAAGCTCTTAAAGGACTACTGTTCGCAAGGGGTATAAAAGATCACTGGATTTGAATGTATGCACCCCACTAAGATGTGTTAGTCTTGCTGTTGGCTTCCTTTAACCATTACAATTTGCTTTTTTCAGTTGTTTAATTCCTGATACTTATAAGCACAGAGGGATTGCAAGCCGTTTCCACCTGTAGACAATTGGAGCAGGCAGTTTGTCCCAGGGAGAGAACCCAGAGGGGTTGCGTGCACTCCAAACCCCTCTTCCCGCCTGATGCTTTCCACTTTGCTGTGGAAGATTTATTACATTTATTTTCAGTGGCAAACTTGAAAGTGGGCAGGTGAAAGGCGGGGGGAGGGGAGAGAAGGAGGAATAAACTACCACAATAAACAGTCTAAAGACAACAGTGTTTGCATATAGCAGATGCATTTAGGTAAATGCGGTTACCTCGAGAGGTGTTATCTTCTGGGGAGCCTTATCATAATTTTGTTTTAAACTCAAACAGCTGTTGTTTAACTACCACAGACCACAATTTATCTACAGCTTGAGGCCATAAAGGTAGCTTTATTACACACATTGCTTTTCCCTCCTCCTCCAATTTGGTTTAATTTCAGTATGTCAGACATCAAAATGCTATATACAATTTGCATATTACAGAGATGTCGTGCCTCAGATTCCCATACCCGGCTAAATGGGAGAGTTGATTCACAACAGGCCAGCTCTCTCGTTTGATGAATATGGAAGCTCTTCTGCCAAGTGCCCTGTATGCTCAATGTACTCTGTATGGCGCTACCATTGGGGTTTGTCTGGTGGCTGCAGCTGGTGCAGAATGCAGTGGCCAAGTTGCTTGATAGGTGTCAGAGACTGGACAGAGGACAAATGGTGGAGACCGCCTCCCCATCCTGACCCTTCCAGGGAGGAGGAAGAGGAAGACAGTATAGATTTACAATAAGGGTTTGAGGAAGGTTGCTAGGAAATCATGGGAGAGCCAGAACAACACCCAGCTGACATGTTGTCATTAGAAAGCCTTCCAGACCCTCCATCTCCCAGAACTTGGAAAGCCTTAAAAGTAGGAGAGCAAAGAGCTCAAAGACAGAGGGCATGTAGCAGCGCCCATAGAGGAAACGATGAGAATGACGAATGAGGAAGTGGGAGAGATGGGCTGGGTGGAGATTCACTTAGGACAATGCCATTATTCCAGAGGCTGGGTTCTATAGCCTCTCTCTGTAAAGATTGAAATAAAAAAGGATGGTAAGAAACTTTCCTTGTCATTATACTTTCCTGGGCAACCAGCTGGGAGCCGCTGACAGCATCCTGACAATAAGGGCAAACTACCACGAGCATAGAACACCTTGCTTATGGGATTTTTAGGGGCTGCCAATCTGCTACTATCACTGCAGATGGTGACAGCAGTCACGAAATTAAAAGACGCCTGCTCCTTGGGAGAAAGGCAATGGCAAACCTAGGCAGCATCTTAAAAAGCAGAGACATCACCTTGCCATCAAAGGTCCGTATAGTTAAAGCCATGGTTTTCCCAGTAGTGATGTATGGAAGTGAGAGCTGGACCATAAAGAAGGCTGATCGCTGAAGAATTGATGCTTTTGAATTATGGTGCTGGAGGAGACTCCTGAGAGTCCCATGGACTGAAAGAAGATCAAACCTATCCATTCTTAAGGAAATCAGCCCTGGGTGCTCACTGGAAGGACAGATCGTGAAGCTGAGGCTCCAATACTTTGGCCACCTCGTGAGAAGAGAAGACTCCCTGGAAAAGACCCTGATGTTGGGAAAGATAGAGGGCACAAGGAGAAGGGGACGCCAGAGGACGAGATGGTTGGACAGTGTTCTCGAAGCTACAAACATGAGTCTGACCAAACTGTGGGAGGCAGTGGAAGACAGGAGTGCCTGGCGTGCTCTTGTCCATGGGGTCACGAAGAGTCGGACACAACTAAATGACTAAACAACAACAATCTGCTACTTGGCCAAGTTCAAGACGTTGGCACAAACAGCCCTATACAGGTTACCTGAGAGACCACCTTATCCCTTGCACACCCTGTAGATTGCTGCGGTCTGCCTGAGAGTGTCTCTTGCAAGTTTCAAAGACTCCAGAAGCTCAGAGAAGGGCTTTTGGTATGGCTGCCCTGGTTTTGTGGAATAGTGCTCCTGTGGAGATATGACAGGTGCCCCCCTATCTGCACTTTCTGGAAACAATTGTTGTCATCTTTGTTCCAACAGGCTTTCACAGCTGGATAAATGGGTCTTTGCCACGAGTGTATATTTTGTATGTTTTTAGTTTTGTTTTAAATAAACCTGCTTTTACTTCTTTTTCTCTTGCACATTGCCTTGAGATGATTGTATAGAAGGTGATTAATAAATTAGTATTTATTAATATAACTTCAGTTCTTCAGAGAACAAGAAGTGTTGGTTTTTCCTAGAGATATACAGTCGAATCAGAGCTCCTGCAGCCAGTTCTTTGGAACAGATCCCTGGAGCATATATATATGCTCCATATATATGGGGTGGGAACTGGATACACCCCCACCCACTGCACACAGACTAGCATCACAGATACTATATAAGTGGTCCTTAGTTTCACTGGAATAAGTGGGCAGAACAGGATGAAGGATTTCAGTTTAAAAAGAAATTGATGTGCATCCCCCCCCAAAAAAAAAGTGAGAGAAAAGAATGGCACTGATTCTTAATGTGGAACTATTTGTTTAAGGTATAACTCATCACATTTGCTCACCTGCTTCATTCAGCTTGAAGTGGGAATTTTAAGACTGTTTATATTTCGGTGTCGCAGGAACAAGACCCCTTTGTTGCACTGTTATCTTAAGGGTGGACTACATGAACCTGTTGGCACTAATCAAAAGGAATCATACCATAACTCAATTACTAATTGACCTTTCCAACTCCAACATCCATCACGTAACACGAGACAGCCGGCTTGAGCTGCTCTGCGAGAGCATGTAACAAACTGCCCAGCGAGAGGAAGCTCACTTTAAACAGAAGAAAATAATGAAACACACCCATCTCCCCAACGTGGCATGCTCAGAGCCATCAACCTAATTTCATCTCTCTGACACTTAGCACTTATAGAAAGGCAGGTGTGGCCAGACAAGACAGGAGGAAATTAGTGCAAGGTTTTCTTTACATGAACAGGCTAGCCCCGCGGTGACGACTTTACGACTTGCCTGTTTGAATATGGTACCTGCCCTACGGTTGGTTAATTCGAGCACAAAGGACTACATCAGATATGGTCCCTGCAGTCCTTCCTTAACTGGCCCTTTGGACTCTGCCCAGGCCATAAAGCCACCCTAGACCACATTTCTCTCTGACCCTGCTCCACTCTCTTGCCTGCTTTGGGACATTCTTGTCATGGACTGGTTGGACGCAGAGGAATGATGGGAGGAACCATCTGGGGGAACCAGCAAGGGCAGAAGGCTCAGAGCCTGGAGAGTGGTGATGGGACAATGATGAGTTAGAGAGAGAAGAGGAAGAAGACTGGGAGGAGAAGGTGTTGGAAGCTGAAGAGGGCTTAGTGAGCTGGGAGAATCTGTGGCAGAGAGATGTCTAGAATCGGAGGCAGAAGCTGAAGCAGGGAAGGAGGGAGGCCAGGAGAAAGAGAGAAGTCCAGCTGGTGAAGAGGCATGGGTGTCTCCCCCTCCTCCTGTGACACGCTCCCTTCCCCCAGTCTCCCAGAACCAGAGGGGGGCTGAAACAGGCAGAGCAGTGGCGGGCTTCATGCAGGCACAGTCTCTGATTGCTTGGAAAAAGCCCTGTAAGTAAACTTGACAAATGAAAGTGGATTGACTAACCACTTACCCCTCAGGCTCAGTGTTACACTTCTGTAAAATAGGAATATTAACCAATTGCCTTTGAACTAGCCTTTCTGCATCTCTTTTGGGTGATTTTGGAGTTTTGTGTTATGTAGGAACTCAGATGCCGATTTGCACTTTTATATGCAATCTGTTCCAGGCTGATGGGGTGCAGGACTTAAATTGGATCCCACCCAAGCCACCATCTGGTTCTTCCCCTACTGGTGGAGCTCAGAGTGAAAACAAAGTAGATCCCGTAAGCCTGAAGTCAGAGGCCCGAGGCTGGGTCTTTTTCAAAGGCATTTGCAGGCTGGGCTGTGGAGTTGGTTTGTCTCAGGAAGGCTGAGGAGTTTATTGAGCTATTCCAAGCTGCTGAATCTGGAATGTTGGTGGTGATGGAGAGAAATCATTAGTATTTTACCTTATTTAATATGGAAATCATGTCAAAGGTAAATGTCAGGAGGCTACAAAATTACCCTCCTTATCTCCCATACATTTATCAGTTGATAAATGGAAAGACAGTGCTGCCAAAATAACTGTGAATGAATAATTTATAAAATGACTGATGCTTCGTGTATATTGTTTCAGGCAGGAAACAGTAGGACATCAATAATCAAAAGGAGCCGGATTAATTTAGCAGAATTCTGCAGCTAATATTTTTATCTAAATGCTACAGTCGTGGACCTCCATCGTCAGGAAATCCCTCCCTTGGCCACTTGCTGCCGGATTCAAAGCCCACACAAGTCAATGGGAGGCTTTGCATTTGCTACAGTTGGTTTTTATTGCAGACCCTTTGACAAGGCTGGAGTTTTTCTTTGTGCATTTCTGATGTCCATATTTGTACACTGAGTACAGGTACGTGCAGCGGTGCTGGGGGCAAGCCTGTTCCTTAACCCCGCGTTATCCTTTACACTGGCTTCAGTGTGTTCCCATCACTGGTTTTTGAAATCACACACACATACACAATGTTAGCCACAATCCAAAAGTGTCCTGCAGTTTCTTGTGAAATTGCGTCTCCCGCAAGTCAGCTTCAGTCTGACTTGAGAACTGTAGCCTTGTGTGCATTTGAAAGCTGATCTTTCTTTCTGGAGTGATGGTGATCCTACACGTCTGATGTCAGTGTGCAGAAGAAGCCCTTCCCCTCTCCACCCACCACTACTTGCCAGTAAAAACGTTTGCCCCTTAAAATAAAATGGGGGGGGGCCCTCCGTGACAGAATTCAGGACACATTATGCTTTTAAAAAGGCACAGTGAGGGGAAGCAATGTATGTGTGCAAGCATGAGAGAGACAGTCCAATGGCAAGATCAGGAGAGAAATGGAGGTTTACAGGTACAGTTTACATCTGCCTGGACTGAGGTCTTGGGGGAAGGAAAGTTCATTTAATTTGACTGTCAAAGGAGGGGTTAAAATGCTAAGAAGGAATTTTAAACATCTTCAACTCTGTGTTGTGCTCACTCAGGCCACATCAGGACCTGTGGACAAATTTTAAATAGCCATGGTTCCTCACCCCCCCCCCCCGATTCCTGGGAAATGTAGTTTACCCTTCACAGAGCTACAATTCCCAGCACCCTTAACAAACTACCCTTCCCACAATTCCTTGTGTGAACACTTTAATTGTATGGGATATGTGCAGCTCCCTCATCTATGGCCATACCTCTCCTAACCTATGACAGTTGATGCTCTAAAATCTTCCCAAGATTCTGAAAAGGGAATTAAATAACAGGAACAGCTTAGCATTATCTAATACCACCTCTCTTTCTTTCAGTATAAATAACTCCCCTTCTTCCTTTTCAGACCCAGGATAAATCTCAGGTTCAGAGTGACGCCTCCAGTCAAATCTTCCTTTCCCCCTCCAGTCTTCCACATACACTCTTTTTGCTTATGACCCATCACCATGCCTGTTTTTCTTTTCCGGAGACGTGAATTCATAAGTAGAGCACACAATGAATTAACTGATGAGTTCCACTGTTCTTTGTTGCTGAACTAAGCACTTCCAAAATAACACTCCAAAATCCCAGCTACAGAAAGCCATCCCTCTTTCTTTCAAGAATCTACATTTAGGTATATAATTTTTTTGGGGGGGGGAGGAAGGGATGGAGAAATAATAATAAAAAATCTTATAAGGAATATTCACGCTTCTTTGATGTCAATGAGTCAGTCTTTATTTTTATTTTTTAAAAAATTCTCTTCAAAATCTTGTAGTCAAATAATTTAGACATTCCTTACATTGACTTCCATTGTATATATATATAAAAAATGGAAATCAAGAGAGAGTTCTGTAAATACATTTAATCTGTCAAGCAGCTTAAAATTCAGTACTGGGAAAATAAAGTAGGGAGACTCTTGTTCTTCAGATAAAATGCTAAGCAGGAGAGACAGTCCCCCTCGGTTTTCTTCCCACATCTTTCTCTGGTGTTTCTCTCCACCCTGTTTCTCTCCCCCCCCCCTTATTGATATTGCTGTGCTTTTTGATCTCTGCAGTTTCTTTGTTTTGGCTTCCCAGGTACCAAGGGAGAATGGCTAGCAGTGAGTTCTCTTTCAGCTTTTCCTGCTCTGAAAGCCCCTCTGGCTTAGCCAGCTGGATCACACTGAATTAGTCAAGTACTTCATTATCTCCCTTCTCTGCACATTTTGCTCCAGGTAACAAAATGCCCAAACAAGAGAGCCAGTGCCTTCTGCCACACTGTCTGCGAAGTTACATTGTTGTGGCCAATTCTGCATTATCAGCCTCGTGCTCTGGGAGGGCATCACTTTCCATCCCTCGCCTGCAGTCCTCCCCGATATCCATTTAGTCACAGCAGTTAGCTAACCATGTAGCTGTTGATAACATAGCACGGGGTGCTGGCATATCCAGACACACACACCGCCCTGCTCTCCAAGCCCTTAGGATGTCTGGGATTTCTCTTTGCAGCGAAGGGCCTACAGTAGGAACAGGGACTAGCTGGGAGAGCCAGACCAATTACATTGTTGGGGTAGCTGCGGCTGCTATGTGAGAATTGCTCTTGTTAGCAGGCCAGCAGGATGGAAGTTTTGCAGCAGGGCTTTGCGCTTTTTGCTGCAGTGAAGCACCACTAAGCAGTTAACTAGGTCAGGTACAGAGAGCCGCTGCTTGAAATCACCTTCCTGACTAGTGAAGCTTTTGTCCAGCTGGTATTTTTAATTTTTGTTTGAAAAAAATTCCCCTCCTTTCGCTGAATGAACGCCATCGTGTTAAGCTTCTCTCCTTCGTTCACATTCTTCAAGACTGCAGTTTTTCAGTGGCCACTGCTGCCTCTTGTATTTTTCGAACCACATGTTTCCTCTTGCTCCTTCTTCCCTCTACTGAATGCCTTTCTTACAGTGACCTTTTAAGTTACGCTACAAACCACCTTCAGGCATTTCTCTCCTGTGATGGGTAAGGTGGATGGCAGTGAAATCCCATGGAAGAAGCGAACAGAACAGATCCACTTCTGTTGACTTCTTTGGTTATCTGGGCTGTGGGGGAAAGAGGCTATCGGTCACATTATCTAGGCTAAAAATATGTGTGAACAGCAATATATTAAAGACACCTAGCAAGAGAGGGTCAGAGCTCAGAAGTAGACTGCATGCTCTGCATGCAGAAGGCCAGGTTCAGTTTCTGCCGATTGCCCACTTAGCACATTGCCAAAAGCAGAGGACAGAGAGATTTGCATAAAATCTGCATAAGCTGATTTATATGGATAGATTCAGAATTAGATGGCTATAATTTAAATAGGAATACAATCTATCTCCCCCATACTGGGGAGGACTGTGACAAAGTGACCTGTACTAGGCCTCCCTCCATGTGCTAATGGGCTAATGTGTGGATGGCCATCTGTTCTGGGATGTTTTAGCTGAGATTCCTGCATTGCAGGAGGTAGGACTTGGGGTCCCTTCCAACTCCACAATTCTATCATTCTAACTGACCATGGATGGGCAAATTCCAGACCCCTGTTCTCTCTTCTTACCATTCTTTTCTATAAATCATACTTTGAACTGGATCACTGAAATAAACTTGGAGTCAAGTGTGCATTTCATGCTCTTTATTCAGCTCATAGTAGCGAGGAATGGAACTTCCCCCGAAATGTCTGCTTTATATACATTATTTACACAATGGGTCCCACGTGATTGGCTAGTTTCGGGATTCTCCTGTAGGCCAATCAGGCTGCGGATTCACTTCCACCTGAAGTTGGATTGGGTGGCTCCTGCGGACCAATCAGACTGCTGCCTTCTGGATCCTATTGTTCTAGGACCAATCAGACTGCTGCAATTTGGATCCTATTCAACTCAGTACATAACAATCACTTTTTGTAAAGTAGCACCCCCCCCAAACAAACCCCCAAATCCTAACATCTCCTGTTCAATCGATCAATAGCAGATGATGTGGAAGACCTCTACTGAGATCCAGGAGATCCATTGCCAGTCAGAGTACAGTGGTGCCTCGCAAGACGAAATTAATTCGTTCCGCGAGTTTTGTCGTCTTGCGATTTTTGTCGTCTTGCGAAGCACGGTGTCGGGAAAGTTTTGGAAAAGCTTCAAAAATCACCAAAGCCTTTAAAAACCTCAAAAAAGGCTACCACACCGCGTTCTATGAGTTGCTCCTCAAAGTCAAGTCGCAACTGTATTAACGGTGTTAAGAAAAAGGAAACAAACTTGCAAGACGTTTCCGTCTTGCGAAGCAAGCCCATAGCGAAAATCGTCTTGCGAAGCAGCTCAAAAAACAAAAAAAAACCCTTTCGTCTAGCGAGTTTTTTGTCTTGCGAGGCATTCGTCTTGCGAGGTACCACTGTACGGAGCTAGATGGACACAGACTCTGATCTAGTAGCTTTCTGCACTCTTATGGGGGTGGAGGAAAAAGTATTTGCATGTTGGGAGTGAAGGGAGCAAAATTATTTTCTGTCAATGCACTGAAACCTGAAGCCATTCAATGCAATGTGATTGTCTCTAGTTTCAGGACAATGCAGAAGGAAATACTATATATAAGAAAAACCATGGCTTAGACGTTGTATGTTTTAGGGATCCATTTTAATTGATTTTAGCTACTGTTTGTTTTTTGAACACTTTCTTAGGAATCCCTGTGATTAAGTGGTATATAAATAGCTCAAATCATTATCAAATAATAACATAATTAGTTTATGGAATTCATGGCCTGGATGTCCACTTATATAGCTGGTGTCAAACTCACCTTAGCTATGTGGGGTAGGTCTACCATGTTAATTAGAAATGCAGCCTCCGTGATACAGTGGAATGGAACCACAGTGGTGGAAGGAACCTCAAAGGTCATTTAGTTCAGCCTGCTGCAGGAAACCTACAATGACAGCATTTCTGATAGGTTCCCATCCAGTCTCTGCTTAAAAAATACATTTTCAAGAGGATAGTCTTATTATCTGGTTATAAAACTGCAGTGAAGGATAGCAAGGACAGTAGGACCCATCTGTTAGGGCCAAATGAGATGTGACATTCAGTGCATCTCTGCATGTAACATGCAGGTTTTAAAATATGCAAATAGAATCATCTGGAAGAGTTGCATTTTGATAATTAGCAAGACCACAGCAGGCAATCTAGTTTTGTTTGGCCCTTGGTGATAATGGGAAGGTATGAATCAGGGATTTTCAGGTTCACACTTCAGTCTCTAAACTTCTACATAACATTAACTCTCACTATAAATTAAGGGTTGTATCCAAGGGTTGTCCACACTTCAACTTGCCCTGTGCCTAAAAAGCATAGGCCTGAGAGGTTTTCCATTGGTCCCCCCAGTGCCTGATTTATGTATAGGCTAAGTAGGCTGAAGCCTAGGACCTCGAAATCTAGGGGGCCTCACCAGCCTGCCCATTCCCCAGCAGGCAACCTCCCCTCTCCCAAAATTGCAAACCCAAGCCATCATGCAAGGGCACGGCAACTCAGGCTCAGCAACTATGAGACTTGGGGCTAGCCAGTGGGGCCAAATTTGAAGAAGTGGGGCCCAACTTTAGTGTTTTTTTTTGTTGGGTCCCAGTTCACAGCTAAAGTCTGTAAAATCTTATAGATATAAATAAAATCCATCTAGATTGCCCTGGTGCAGGGGGCCCCTTAGGAGTGGCCCACAGGGCTCAATTTGGCCAAATTGTTCCAATTGCCTTAAGGTCAGCCCTGATGAGACTGTGCAGCGGTTGGACTGACAAGCCCTGCACCTTATAGGTCCCTGGTGTCACTATTCAGAGTACAGACTCAAGGACTTGTTAATAAAGGGGGGCACTTATTGGAAATCAGTTTTGTCACCTCTCTGCCCCCCCCAGACCCTGGGATGATGAGCCCAGCCACCTTTTATTCACAGTTGCATAAGCATTACACTACAACATGGCCATAAACATGTACGTTCAACCGCTGAAATACACACCCAATATGTAGCAATGGAGATTTATGTTACTGCTTTATGAATGAACACTGTGTTTTATTAATGGACTCTTTATTTTTGGAATTACCTAAGAGCCACCAATAGGGAGCTCTAGAATCTGACAGCAAACCAATCGGGTACTACCAAACAGTGACCCCTATTGCTGAAAGCAGGTAACCAGCAGGAAACACTTCAGCTCAGCCTTTGCACTGTTGACTGAACACCCCTGCTCTGCAGATAATGGAGAAAGCTCGTAAATTGTATCCCTTCTGGCATCCTGGCCAATTCTATTACGCTGGTGTAAACCTGTTGCACCCGGAGCCCAGAATAGCAGCAAATAAAATCCGCTCATATGTCAGTGACCGATAAGACTTGGCAGCCAGTTCTTCCAAAGTCTTCCTAAATTATAAAGCTCCAAAATACAGGCCAAAAGAGAGCAGGTCTGGGAAGAGCGAGGCATACAATGGGCACCACCAGTGAAAAAGCCCTGCTCCACGTAGCTCCTGCCCTGTCATTTGATAAGGTGCCCACTTGCCCTCCTTCTTGACATGGAATGCTCTCTATTGGAGTCTCCAGGTCCAATATAAAGACCATATGAAGGGACTTTGAAGTTTCCAACAGCTATTAAGCAAGCAAGCAAGCACACAGGTCACCTTTGTCACAGAACGCCTATGTCCTGGCCAGGCCTGCACCCAGTCTTGTTTTTGTACAATCTTGTTTGTTCTCAGTAACCAAAATTATATTATCAACATATACAAGTAGAAAAGTTGTTTTCCTTCATTTGCAAGGAATCGTACAAAACAAAGTGGCACTAATAAAGAAAAGTTCCAGGTTGGCAACAGAAAGCAAACTAAAAACGCTTTTGGAGTTCATCAGAACTATCCAGCAATATCAAGTTATAGGAAAACTGGTGCTATTAACAGTAACCCTTGTAGTTGGTTAATTGATTTGGCAACTTCCATGCACATGACATCTGATGCTAATTCCTCCCGCAAAGAGTTAAATAATAACATATCAGAGGCAGCTACAGTTTAAAATGGAAACAAAATATCTGTGAAAGGAAGAGGAGCAGGTTTGCTCAAGTGTGTTGCAGGTAGAAATACTGTTTGTAATGAAGTGAGAGCTGTAGTAGCTCAAATTAACAAATAGGAAAGGTCTGAGAATTTACATGCTAGATTAAAATTGATGAATTCATTGAGAAGGGGATTGTAAGAAAAACACTGGGGCCTAATTTGAATAATAGAGTGCCTGGTATCTGGTGGGCAATGCTCTCCTTTATTTCCACACTGTGGCTGCAGACCAAATTACCTATCAGGAGAGCTAAGAGATTTAGGTGAGGGTCAGATGCCTTGTCAATCCCAGCAGGTATATAACAGGAGGACCTGGCCCGCCCAGCTTTCCCAATTCATCTTTGAATTCATTTACCACAGCCACAAAATTCAAAAGTGATTTCTGAAGCTTGCTTGAATTTTACCTATACTGCCAGAAAGAAATTTGGGGAAGATAATAAAAATTAACGCATGCAAGAAGGAAATGGATTGGAACTGTGAACGATTTCTTCTTGCGCAAATGTGCTCTACACTAACTTTATGGTGGTGTTAAACAAACCCATTGTGGGCAGCTGGTTAAAGAGGGAGTTTGTTAATTTCACATAACCTACTTGTTAATTGCTTTCATCCCTGGTCAGTTGGTTTCTGCACTCTGAACCCTAAAGATAGCTCCGAATGGATGTGTTTGGGGAGTGAGAGGTAATTAATGCAAGCAGGCAGCCATGGCTGCAACACAGAGGTTAAGGAGGAGAGAAAGGCCTGCGCTGTGCAGGCCCTCTCTGGAACTGTGCAGGCGACCTCCCTGTTGCTGATATCGCCTTCCTCTCTTTGTGCCCTTCTGCCATAACTTTGCAGGCTTCAGGGAAAGCCAAATCAGGGCTGCCCTCTGGCACATAATGTTGATCAGTAGATAAAACTTCCTAGGCAGCCATGGAGCAGCAGCAGCAGGAACAAGTGAGCTTCCCACACAAAGCCCAACAGCTACACTGAGTTTGCTAAATGCCTTCTTGCCTGCCACCACCTCATCCAGCTCCCTGAAGGATCTTGTTGTTGCTTGACTACGGTGGCTGCCTTTCCCATGGCCTTTTTTCCTCCATTCATTTTTTTGAAAACTGAGCTCCTTCCAAAAGATTTCCCTAATGACAAGGTATGCTGAGTTGAGCATTGCATTGCATTACAGACAGCAGAAGGAGGAATATAGGGGGAGGTGATCACAGCAATACACACTGCCTCTGTTATTACCTTAAAGTCAGACAGTGAGGTGTTCCCATTTTCTCAGGTGTCTGTACACACACACACACACACACACACACACACGTAGTTGGAAACCCAGCCTCTGACCACCTCCAGGATGAATGGCACCAAGGGGCAGGGAGAATGGGAAGCTATTCATTCATTTTACAAGCTGCCATGCTTTGATTTACTCCAGACCCAAAACAGAATAAAGCCAAACAGCTGACCTGCGAGTTATTTAAAACTGTGAGCCTAACACTGAATCAAGGGGAGCATGAGACAACATGTGGAAATGTTGTCTGACAATTGGCAATGCTTTGAAGTATTTTAGACAACTGTCTGTTCATTATTTTGAATTGGCCCACACCATTTCCATCGTCTGCTCCCTATGCCCATGAGAAGCTGGAACTGAGGTCCCTCTCTCCATCTCTACTTTCATGAGAAGGCAGATGCTGGTGGAAGAAGAGATCTGTTTTGCAGGATGAGATTTCAGCCCCTGTTTAGTTTCCTCATAGCAAGGGTGGCTAACCCATGGCACTCTAGATGCTGTTGGACTCTCCCATCAGCCCTACTAGGGTTGCCATATTTCAAATCCAGGCAGAAAAGTTGTCAAGCTTTTTTTAAATGGGAAATTGGCAAAAACAACACTGCCAACATGGACAGTGAATCACCCTGGGATCTTTGAATGAAGGGCAGTATACAAATTTTAATAATAATAATCAACTGGAAGGCCACAAGTTTGCCCCCTATGCCTTGTAGAAATGCTAGAGGGAAGCTTGATGGTGATTTTGGATGCTATACTGGCACTTTTTTATTTGTTTCATGTATACGGCTTGAAATGTCTGAATGGTGGTGGAAACTAGAAGCCTTTCCTCCTTCTGTAGCCTACCATCCTAGTTATGTAGCCCTGGGTTGCATAGCAAGTGTTAAAGCACTGAATATGCTGGCAGTGAATATCCTTTTGTCGACTAGGTTAAGGTTACCAGATTTTTTTCAATGAATCCGGGGACACTTTTCAACTTCAGCTGAAGAGGATGGATTTTGTCAGGGGACTGATTTGTAAATCCGGGGACTGTCCCCGGGAAACGGGGACGTCTGGTAACCTTAGACTAGGCTCACAAGGTTCTGGAGCTTTCCTGGTGAAAGGTTCACAGGTCAGTGGTGGGTGGAGTGGAGAACCAGAGGTGCATTTATATATTGGCAGAATTAGAGTGGATGAGTTAAAGGAATAAATTAATCGAGGCAAATAAGAAGTGCTTATTTGGATTTCTCTTCTTCAGAGGATGCTAGCAGCCCTGAGAACGAACAACCCTGAAACCAGGCATGCTTTATTCTTTGCCATGCAAGGGTGCTTCTTTTTTCATCAGCTTTTGGCCTAATGAAATTGAGTTTGAGTTTTGTCAGGGAGCAACAGATAGACGTGGGACTTAACGAAAACAATTGCAGAAAGCTAGGAAGTGGAAGTAAGGTTGAAGGCACCTGATATCCGGGATCAAATAGCCCCTGAATATCTGGTGAAAGATCTCTTGAGCATTTAGCACGTGCTCAGCTCTGCTGGAGCTTAAAACTTGTAAGCTATAAGGAAAGGGCGGGGGGGGGGACTTTGTGCAGCTATCACTTACCAAAACAGCCTTTTTGTCTTAGCTACCGGTAATCATTCACCACTAACTAGGTTTTCTTCGCAATCACTCCTATAGATGTACTCTCTTTTAATTACTGCATTAAAATATACAGCCACGTGGATAAGATCAGGGTTTGTTCTTTTTAAAAAAAGAACAATTGGATCTAACAATGATGGTGAGGGGAAGAAACCTCCAAAAAAGGAGCCAGAGTATATTGAAGAAAATATACTGTATATTTGGGGTGTTTATTTAGCCTTGATCTTACTAAAAGTAGACCCATTGGGTTATGTCCAACTCATCTTTACTGAGAGCAGACCCATTGAAATTACTGACCATGACAAATTTAGTTCCATTAATTTCAATAGGTCTACTATGAATTGAAGTTAGTTGGGCAGGCCGGGTCTTCCTGTTTTATACCTGCTGGGATTGACAAGGCATCTGACCCTCACTTGAATCTCATAGCTCTCTTGACAGGTGATTTGGTCTGCAGCCCCAGTGTGGAAATAAAGGAGGAAATTGCCCACAAGATACCAGGCAGTCTGTTATTCAAATTAGGCCCCAGTGTTTTTCTTACAATCCCCTTCTCAATGAATTAATCAATTTTAATCTAGCATGTAAATTCTCAAACCTTTCTTATTTGTTAATTCAAGCAACTACTGCTCTCACAAGTCCTAGAGTCTGCACTCTGAATAGTGACACCAGGGACCTAGAAGGTGCAGGGCCTGTCAGTCCAACCCCTGCACAGTCTCATCAGGGCTGACCTTAAGGCAATTGGAACAATTGTGCCAAACTGAGCCCTGCGAGCCGCTCCTAAGGGGCCTCCCGCACTAGGGCATTCTAGATGGATTTTATCTATATCTATAAGATTTTGCAGACTTTGGCTGTGAACTGGGACCCAACAAAAAAACAACTAAAGCTGGGCCCCACTTCTTCAAATTTGGCCCCACTGGCTAGCCCTGAGTCTCATAGTTGCTGGGCCTGAGTTGCCCTGCCCTTGCATGATGGCTTGGGTTTGCAATTTTGAGAGAGGGGAGACTGCGGCACTGGGGAGATGGCAGGCTGGTGAGGCCCCCTAGATTGAGGCCCTAGGCTCTCTACAGCTATTTCTGCCGAATAGTAGAATGTGGCGTCTGTGGTGGGGGGCAGTGGGCGGGTCTCATTTCTAGGACATAGAGCTCTTCCCCTTCATGCAATTGTAATTTTTATTGCCGAAACAGGGGTAAAGTCAGTGGCCACTTGTCAGTTTGGCTCTGATTCAACCTGTGTTAACCTGAGAAGGCAAAACATGAGATAGGATCATCTGCAGTTCTTTCCCCTCCAGAGGTTTACAAAAGGGGTGGGGAAGCTGTGGTCCTAAAGATACGGTTGGACTCCAACTCCCATCAGTCCCAGTCAGCATGGCCAATGGTCTGGGATGATGGGAGTTGTAGTATGGCACCATCTGGAGGGCCACAGGCAACCTCACTCCTGTTTCAAAGACTGCTTTCTTAGGCATACATGGAAAGCAAATCTCATATATGACAGCGGGACTTACTTCTGAGTAAACAGTCAAACAATCTCTCTGCACACATTTTTAATAGTGTTTTTATAACAATATCAAAGTTATAATTAAGCATACACACATTCAAAAGCCAAATTTAAATATATTAAACTTGACACACCTGATACTTCCAGTTATACATATGGGAACCACGCACTGAAGTATTACATTATTTGTGAAGGCTAATGAAATGCATTCTGGATGAGCTGGCAATGGTAAGATTCTCCATAGGTGCAACTCAGCATTGGCTCACTGCTGAAAAAGAGCTGCATTTATCCATGCCAGTAAAAGAAGAAGAAGAAAAACACACACATTCAAATACCCAGTCCCATAATTCTTGTGCTCCAAATGTCAATTATGAAATTAATCTGGCTGGTGTTCACAAAAGCAGTACTACTAATTGCGGGCTCTGCAGGCAGCAGAAATCTCATAGCCTCAACCATAATGTATTACATAACATTTGCTTACTTAGAATATAATCACCCTATCAATTTCCCTGGAAATTTGTTCTGTGTCATTTCCCCCCACTCGTGTCATCAATACAGACTTGACAGTGCAGCTGTAAACAAAACAACAATATTAATACATATCCATAACTAAGTAGGAAGAAAGCAACAGTGTGGGGTCTTTACAGGGCGATTCTGCATGCGTCTTCTCAGAAGTAAGCTCTACTGAATTCAATGGGACTTACTGCCAGGAGAGTGGCGTATCGGAGTGCAACTTTAATGCGTTGCATTTTGAGATTTCAGATAGCATGCAGCTTTCAAACCATCACTTTGTCTCTTTTGACTGCTGTTCCAGACATACTTTCCCACCCACCCAGAAACAGAGGCCACGAGAGCTATTCAGACCTTTCTTCCAACTAGCTCAGTCTGTGCCAGCCTTTTCCAACCAGGTGCTCTGCAGACAAACGCGGTGCTATGAAACTCCCTGACAACTACTGTGAAAGTTGCTGTGAAGTACCTCGGCATCATCTTTGAGAGGCCTTGGCTTGGCTCCACACATAGTTAACGTCTTTCCTGTTAGACACAGAAGAACAGAAGGAAAAGAAACACAGAACGCATTGTCTGTCTTATTATCATTACAAGGAAAACACCCAGCAAGGCAGAGCGACTATGTGTGTGCAGGTGTGTGAGGAGGGGGCATGTTTCCAAGGAGGCATGTACGTTGACACATTGCACCCTCCATGTGGCCTACCTGTTGATGAAGTGGTAGAGCATCTCCTTCTCATGCTAAATTGAAGGTCACAGGTTCAGTTCCTAGCATCTTCGGGTCGGGCTGGGAATATACCTTGTCTGAAATTCTGGGGAGCCACTACCAGAATGGTAGAGGACAATACTGAGCTTGCTGGACCAATGGTCTGACTTGATATAAATCAGCTTCCTGTTATCATGTGTGAGCAGGGCTTCACAACGTCACCTACTGCAGTTGTAATTCCAAGAGCCAGTGTGGTGTGGTGTAGTGGTTAAGAGCGGTAGATTCGTAATCTGGTGAACCGGGTTCGCATCTCCGCTCTTCCACATGCAGCTGCTGGGTGACCTTGGGCTAGTCACACTTCTTTGAAGTCTCTCAGCCCCACTCACCTCACAGAGTGTTTGTTGTGGGGGAGGAAGGGAAAGGAGATTGTTAGCCGCTTTGAGACTCCTTCGGGTAGTGACAAAGCGGGATATCAAATCCAAACTTTTCTTCTTCTTCTTCTTCTTCTTCTTCTTCTTCAGGTGAAAGCACAGGCATTCACAAATATGGGATTACATAAAGCGGTCAGTGAAGTGGGAGTGGAGGCTAGGCCTGAGCCCAGAAGCAGTTTAGGAATTCCTGCGTTTACAATATCGCTATCAGCTGGTGGATGCTGAGCTTAGAACTTGTGCACCTACAGACTTTCCCTTCTGTAGAAAGTGCACCACAGTCTCTGCTGCCCCTCATTCCAAGGAAACAGAACCATGGGGCCCCTGGAATTTTGCACTGCTCGGAGATTGGGGTACAGTGCAACAGAAGATGGCAAGAAAAAAGTGCACTGGAGCTCTTTGGATGGGAGTCACTAGCTTACATCCAGTCCTAGAAAGGCCTGGTTCTCTCTACTTCTAGGAGGGCTTTTGACCCAGCAGAAGTCTCCACTAAGGAAAGAAAAAGGCATACACCCCCCCCATTTCCCCTTCCTCCTACAGCCCCACCCATGCCACCTTCCACCCTGTCTGGACGGCTGGCCAATTCTCTAGCGCCAATATTTGGGGTAGGTTTTGGGTCCTGCAGGAGGAACCAGCTGCTAGTGGAGGCACCTGCTGCTTCACAATCTTTCCCTGAGTGCAAAGGCACCAACTGGATTTCATCCCAAGTGTACAAAAAACAATTTGGAGAGGGAGGAATTGCAATGCACTTTCAACATATAATAATGGGTCACTTTTGTGTGCTTGGTGAAATCCCTTTTTATGTGCTGTTTCCTCTACCCCATAGTTGCTCATGATGTGAGGAGCCAACTTTTCCCTCCAGCTTTTCCTATTCATATCCCCCCCCCACTTGGCTTCCAAAACCCATTGTATCCCATAGAAAAAAGAACTAAAGCATACACACATGCCAAAAAGTCTCTTTTGGCAGATGAGAGAGGTCGGGGGCTTTTTGTGGAATCCTCTTTACTTCTTCCAGAATAATTTTCTTCTGCAGATTTTTTTTTTTTTTTTGCCTTTGTGTTTAAAAGAAAAGGGAAAAAAGCCGTTGTGTGTTTAGACTGAATGACATCCTTGTTGTACCCCCAGCAATGAAGACGTTTGGCTCACCTTCATGTAATTTATTCCCTTAGATTTGCTGAAGAGAGTTCATTAACTTGGTGTGTTTCTTAAATTTTTATTTTAAGAATACACTCAGGTCAGACTTCGTCGTATGTCAGGGTTTTGCTTATTTTTATGTATATAAGAAGAGGCTTCTGAAAACCCATAGCTTCAATGAAATGTATTGCTAAATAGAGGGATCCAGCGCTGTATTAAAAAACAGGAAAAGAATCCCTGAGCAATCTGAACATTTCCTGCTCCTTAATTTGAGACACTCAGAAGGTCGCGAACAGGAAACACAAAAGAAAATGTAAAGTTTATGCTCACAAGGAAAAGCAAACCCTTTTGATTTCCTTTGGGAGAAGTGTGTGGATATGCAGAAGTCAACTAAAGTCTTGCCATTTATGTAAGTTCCCTGTTTCATTCATGTAGGCTCCGTGTCCCTGTGGTGGCTTTGGGGTGAGCAACCAGCTGGCCCCCCCAATTTTGAGGGCCCCCCTTCAAATCCTGCCTGCCTCCTTTACAGTCAGCTGGTCTCCGTCTGCCTTGTCTTTAACTCAGCAGAATTATAGGAAAGCAAGGTCTCCCCCACCTACAAAAACACAGGCAGAGACTTTCATTCCTTAAGTCAAGCCCACCCACATCGGAAGTACGTTAGTTCCTTACTTGGGAGCTGTGCTTATGCCTTTCCCCCTACATACGCCCAGTTCACTCAGAACATCGGACGACAGCCATTTTGTTTTAGTAAGAGGGGGAAGAATAGATCCACAATTTCATGGGTATCGTTTAACAATGAAATCTCAGCAGAGTGGACAAGATAGGTTCTTTTAACCCAGGGTCAAAACTAGGCTTTATTCCACCTGGGTCAAAGACCCAGTTTGGCACCCTCCCCACAATTTTTTACACACACACACACACACACACACACACACACACACACTGGGAGCCTCACTGGTACCCCTCTGGTGGCTTCAACTGGGGCAAGAAACCCAGCTAGTCCACCCTCCCATACCTTTGCTTTAACCTTCTCCACCCCTTCAACAAGTGAATAAACAGGGAAAGGTAGTAAGATGGGCAGGGTAATAATAATAATAATAATAATAATAATAATAATAATAATAGAATAGGATGTCCCTATTTTCACTGGAGAAATGTTGGAGGGTATGCCATCTGGACCCTTCTCAGGCAAAAGTGTTTTTTGTTCATACTGGCCTGATAAGCTTACTGGCTATGGCTAGAATACCGCCCCCCTGCAAAAAGCAGATTTTTTTTTGCGACAAGAAAAGTGATGGAAAAGTACAGTGGAAAGTGAAGGGTAATGACCGCTTGACACTGACATTGTATAAGGTCTGTGCAAATTTTGGAAAAACAAATCAGGGTGATTTCTCAACATACATTTCATCTGGAATTGACCTCCAACTGTATTTCTGAGGCACTGTATCCCCATAAGAGATTATGAGTGACATGCCACTCAGTTTTGCTCTAGAATATTTGCAGACAAATGGGATAATGCACTTATTTTCATACCACATTATAATTTATGAGCCAGTCTGTTTCCTTAATTTTTCCCCCCTGTGAGAGCAGCTTTCTCTAGGATAAACAGGCTCTTGTTTGCTAACAGCCCAGGACTTTAAAACATAATCCTCTATTTGTTATGGTGCTATATTTAAATGAGGGAATATTACAATGCCACACACGGAGGATTACAGCTATGAAGCAGCTGCCCTATTTTTTTTATACTCTTCCATGCAACTCTTCTTAAAAACTCATTTTTCAAAAAATTAATTATACTAATTTTGAAACCAATCCGTTGGGTTTGATGATACATCTAGCCCTATTTCCTCCAGTACCCTTTGGGTTGGACCTTACATTTGGAACATAACCTTTGGTGTGACCCAGTATATCTCAGTGTCGCCTACAGTGCTGACTGCAGGAAAGGAGCACCTGTCAATTTCCGTTTCTCTCAGTTTCTCATTTTTCTGACCTTAAGCTCAGTTCTCTACATTTCCAGTTTGCAATCCTTTTCTAAAGTCCTTGTGAAAATCCAGCAGCATTTTACAGCACATTTCTCCCAATGTTTACATATTTCTATGTAATTTTGCTGCTCCACAACTTCCTCAGGTGCTTCTGTGTGTTCTTGAATCCAGGCCTGAAGCCAGACTGAAATGTCATCCTGAGCCATGGTAGGCAGCTACACTTCTGGGAGCTGCGGTGGATTCTTACGCAATGTAATAAACAACAACAACAACAACAACAACAATATTTATACCCCACCCATCTGACTGGGTTTCGCCAGCCACTCTGGGCGGCTTCCAACCGAATATTAAAAACAATACAGTAGTACCTCAGGTTACATATGCTTCAGGTTACATCTGCTAATCCAGAAATAGTGCTTCAGGTTAAGAACTTTGCTTCAGGAGGAGAACAGAAATCGTGCTCCGGCGGTGCGCCGGCAGTGGGAGGCCCCTTTAGCTAAAGTGGTTAAGAACAGTTTCAGGTTAAGAATGGACCTCCGGAACGTATTAAGTACTTAACCCGAGGTACCACTGTACAGCGTCAGACATTAAAAACTTCCCTAAACAGGGCCGTCTTCAGTTGTCTTTTAAAAGTAAAATAGTTGTTTATTGCCTTGACATCTGCTGGGAGGGCGTTCCACAGGGCAGGCACCACTACCCTCTGCCTGCTTCCCTGTAACCTCACTTCTCTCAGCAAGGGAACTGGACCTCAGTGTCCGGGCTGGACGATGCGGGTGGAGATGCTCCTTCAGGTATACAGGACCGAGGCTGTTTAGGGCTTTAAATATCAGCACCAACACTTTGAATTGTGCTTGGAAATGTACTGGGAGCCAATGAAGATCTTTCAGGACCGGTGTTATATTGTCTCAGCGGCCACTCCCAGTCACCAGTCTAGCTGCCGCATTCTGGATTAATTGCAGTTTCCGAGTCACCTTCAAATGTAGCATCCCTCTTGGGAATTGCAGGAACACCAGAATGGTGGCTTCCTAACTTTGTGGATTTGCCCTTTGGTAAATTCAGACCAAATTAATTTACCAAATTCTGGTGCTGGAGGAGACTCTTGAGAGTCCCATGGACTGCAATAAGATCAAACCTATCCATTCTGAAGGAAATCAGCCCTGAGGGCTCACTGGAAGGACAGATCCTGAAGCTGAGGCTCCAATACTTTGGCCACCTCATGAGAAGAGAAGACTCCTGGAAAAGACCCTGATGTTGGGAAAGATGGAGGGCACCAGGAGAAAGGGACGACAGAGGACGAGATGGTTGGACAGTGTTCTCGAAGCTATCAGCATGAGTTTGACCAAACTGCGGGAGGCAGTGGAAGACAGGAGTGCCTGGTGTGCTCTGGTCCATGGGGTCACGAAGAGTCGGACATGACTAAACGACTAAACAACAACAAATTTAGACCAAATAAAGCAGGTGGACAGGGAGGTTTCTTCTCAACCACTAGCCTCTCCTGCGATGCCAGACCCACCGAAAGCTGGCCATGGAAGCTGGGCGCTGCCTCTAGCCTTGTCAAGAGCTGATTTATTTTCAAACCTTTTTTCTTTCAGTCCTCTGAAAACGACGACTTTTGAGGTCACTTAGTGGCTTCAAGTTGTTCATCTTGTTGTTGAAAGAAATGGAAAAATTGTGGAGCGCTTCCTCCATTGAGTAATGTTGCTTAGTTAATGGGTGGGGAAGAGGAAAGACTATAAGGGGACTCCCCTGTTAATGTGAACTCTTGCCGTTTTATGGTGGTTGCACCCTGTATAGTTAAGGCTGAAGCAGCTGTACCCATTACATACTCCTATTTCAGGGGTTTATGACTCAGCTGTAAAAATCTGCTCCAGGCTAAAAGGTAACTGACAGGGTGTTACCCTTGGTGTAGTTAAATCAGCAACAAGAACCAAAATGGCAAAAAGAAGACCTCCTGCTCATTTCCGAAAGCTCCCACAGACAATTTAAACCAACCTCATATTCCATTAGTTGATTACATCTCCTATCTGTAACCTGACCGAGGAGAAGTGATAAATCGTGTATTTCAGAACAGGTTATAGGAAAAGAGTGATTTTTTTTAGCACGAAACAGTCATTTTGGTTTTACTGACATGCAAGAACACTGAATGTACATTTTACCAGTATCCATTGAAATAACTTGAGTTGGCATATGCTCTTTGTCTCCGATTTGCAATACACATAGACCTCCATACATATTATTGTTCCTTAGGCCTGTATTGCTTACTTGCCCATATAAATTCACAAGCCCCATTGGCACAGAATTGTGCGTGCTAGCACAAGGGTCTGTGTGCAAGGATGTCATTGCTACTATTCCTAAAACCTTGTTGTGTGCCAAATAATGTGCTGCTTGTTGCATAAAACAACAACTTTGAGAGTGGAGTTTTAGGTGTGGATTTGTTCAGACAGACCAGCTTCCCCCAACCTGGTGGCCTCCCTCCAGTTATTGTTGATGTACAACTCCCATTGTCCCTGACCATTAGCAGTGCTGGAGCTACACATTTTGCTATAAGGGGCAAATGTCTGCACTGCTGCTGCCCTCTCCCTGATTTATTTATTTATTTATTTATTTATTTATTTATTTATTTGTGTGTGTTTGTGTGTATACGTGCAAACACACACACACAACAATGTTGCCAAAAATATTTTTCTTGATTTGCATGACTGATTCATGTACCTAAAGGATAACATTCTTCATTAAGTATTTTCCACAAGTATACAGGTTTTGTGTTAACTGGGGCCACAGTCCTATACTTGCTTCCTGTTTGTAAGTACAACTGAACTTCCTGGGTTTACTTCTAAGTAGACATGGCTACTTAGGGACGCGGGTGGCACTGTGGGTTAAACCACAGAGCCTAGGACTTGCTGATCAGAAGGTTGGCAGATTGAATCCCCGCAACGGGGTGAGCTCCCGTTGCTCAAGTCCCTGCTCCTGCTAATCTAGCAGTTCGAAAGTATGTAAAAATGCAAGTAGATAAATAGGTACCGCTCCGGCAGGAAGGTAAATGGCGTTTCCATGCGCTGCTCTGGTTCGCCAGAAGCGACTTAGTCATGCTGGCCACATAACCCGGAAGCTGTACGCCGGTTCTCTCGGCCAGTAAAGCGAGATGAGCGCCGCAACCCCAGAGTTGTTCGCGACTGGACTTATCGGTCAGGGGTCCCTTTACCTTTACCTTTAAATATGGCTAGGACTCTACTGCACATGAAAGAGAGGGAGGGAAAGACGATATGGTGAAAGGTCAAAATACTCTTGACTTTCTGTCTTTTATTCTAGGTTCCCTTACTCAACACATGGAAATTTTTGGAGAACGGAAGGCAGAAGCAGAAGGTGAAAAAACTAAAATCGCAATTAAAGCTCAAGTCTGGAAATAAATGACAAGCGTTACAGTGCCACAGAAGCAATTGGGACTGGAGAGGGAGGCAATAGAAACAGGTTTAAAACAACCACCACCACCAAGGACAAAAGAGCAAACCTACTGATAAGATCTAAAGAGCAAGGGGTGGGTTATAAAAATAGATGCAGAAAAACCTGTGCGTTTAAGTGTTTTGAATAATGCAAGAAGATCTCAGAAAGAAATCCCGGCAGAAGTGATCCGTTCAGGCAGGCTGCTTCACTAAAGTGTGAGAGCAGTGAAGGAAGGGGATTGAGCTGCAGACGTTGCTAGGGTCACATGCAACCTGTGATTTTCTAGGCCCTCACACCCTCATGAAGTGGCGGAGATGGGGCAGGGCTGGAAGCTTAACCCCTTCCTCAGCCTCTCAGCTCATAGGGAACCTCATTGGCCAATCCCTGTTGCGACCTGTTGCTCTTGCGTTGCCCACTGCAACTTTGACTCAGTGCAAACCCCTCTTTGAATCAGCATTTCCCACCCTCTCTTAACATGACCCTTTCAATGTGGAGTTGGAGACTGGACACGACACTTCAGGTGGTCATGTGGATTCCCCCCCCCAACTGCCCTCTCCACTTCCATTGCCCGCCATGTAACCCCAATGACTTGAGTTGCCGCTACAACCACCACTGCCTTCCCATCCCCACTGAGCTCGTAATATCCCACCACCTGCAGACTTGGCACCAAGTGGCTGAGCCAAGAACAGCTGACAAGTGGTAGGAGTGGGTCTTGCTCAAGTCTTTTGATGGAACCATTTCTCCCTCCTACCACACTTGTGGCAGCAGCAGTGGTGACGGAGGAAGAGAAATAATGATTCCTCCCTCTGCTGCCACTGCTGCCAAGGTAAGTGACAGTCTATGTTTCAAAATGTCACTTAGCTCAGTACCAGCAGTAGCAGCAGAGGGGAGGGCAAAGGGTAGAATACTTCTGCACTCTGGGTGTAGCTCCTCTTTTGAAGCTCTGCTGGATTTTCAAGCCTCCCCATGCCTTGCAAAGCCCACCCCATGGTGATCCTTCCAACCTGCAAACCAGAGACTCAAAGGATCAGCTTCAGGTGACATTGCTTGCTTTGTACCCTTCTCTCTTCCTCTCTTGCACGTGCTCTTCAAGTGGTGACCTGGAAGGGTTCACCACTCAGCTGGTCCAGGCAATTGCAGGGCAGGGAAGCAGGTCTCCTGCCCTTCTTCTCTCCACAGCTGCAGGAGGCATTGCCACTCAGTACCCCCTCTCTTCCTCCTGGGTAGGATGCTGTTTGCAACACCCCCACCCCCACCCAGGGCACATACCCTTGCTCTTGCCTTTCCCTCAGTCGGTGGGTTACTACACCCAGGGGCCGCCTCAGCCTCCCATGACCAAGCCAGTAGTGGAGCAGCTGTAAGTGATGGCCCAGCTGAAGGCAACAAGGTAATCCCTGCATCTGGAGCCGGGGCAGGCTCAGGCCCCCCAGCTGGTGTTTGTTGCAGGGGAACCTGTGCAGACTGGGACTCTTCAGGATCAGGCCCCAGACTTCGTTCAGACGATGCCTGAGGCAAAGGATCCAGTGCAGACTGAGATTCCTCTGAGTCCGAGTCCCAGGCCATCACAGTTGTAATATCTGGATGCTACATGTTGAAGAAATCTGATTGAGACCACCCATAGCAAAATATAGTAGTTGGATGGATTCAAAGAGTCCACCTATTATGCACATAGCTTTCTTTGTCTGCCATGCCATTTCTGCATAAAATTATGTGGGATGTAACATCACTGCAGCTGTCAAGTACAACATTTTCTGTTTGCCCAGAGTGTTGCTCCAGCCAGGAGGACTTCCTGCCACACCTGTCTGGAGCATCCTCCCCCCTGCATATTACCAGGTAGATGGGCATGACCCTGGGAGACCCCATAAAAGGGCTGGTCATGCAGCCATCTTTCTCTTGATGCTCTTCTCTCTCTTGACTCTTTCTGATGCATCTGTTGCTGTCTGCTGGCTTTCAGCCAGCAGCACATGGGCTCATTCCCCACATGGGATGAACCCACATTCTCTTCTGCTACTACAAGTTAAAGCCTGCCTTCAGGATCATACTGTGAACTGAATGTAAGTAACCTTCTTATTACTTTTAAGAGAAGACTGTCTTTATTCTTTTTAAGAGGGAATTAAAGGGGAATTTACTAGGAACAATCCAATCCGGACAATATTTAATCAATATATTTAATCAATATATCCTCTCCTACTATCCACAACATTCCCACAATTCGCATGTAAATGAAAACATGTCTCACTTTATGAAAGCAAAGACAAAACAAGGGAGTAGATTGATCATTTGAAAGGTTGTGGTAAGTCCATTCCATTGTTTCATGTACCTGACCAACACATTGCATACTGATTATATTTGTAGAACCCCTGTTCATTTCAACAGTGACCAGTTTTTTAAATTGCCAAGTTCAATTTGAAGAGGAGCAGTTTGTTATGTTCCCGAAAGCTTCTGATACAAGGTTGGACCATAGGATTGGTCTGTTCACTCAGTTCTGTTCAGTCGTGACTAAATTTTTGTTGTATTGTGTTCTTTGTCCAAAATCACCAAGGGAAGAAATTTGAGCACGGTCTCCTCATGTTATTGTACATATATGAGGCAACATGAAAGCCCACTGGGATTTATGAGACCGGGAAGTAGGTTGCTATCATAATTTTTAAGAACTGTTGAATGCAGATTCTTAGAAGTCATTATGATGATAGCAGGTTTAGATTACATGTAAACCACAACTCTTGCCAAGCCATTGCTTAAATCATAAGAGCTGACCATATTATGCTCCCAGCAATTTTAGCAAATACAAAAATGTTTAGATCAAGATTACATTTTCAAATTGTTGTCAATTTAAAGAATGTGGGTATATAAATCAGACTGAAAATAGCCAACATTTTTTTTTTGCTACTGAACCCAGAGGATGAATCTAATGAAGCAAACAATTGGCTACGTGTTGTGACTGGGGAAAGATTACACAGCAAATGGATATTCCCTATAAGAAAAAAATATTATTATAATGTACACATTAAACAGATATGTAATATCCATTGTGTCTGCTTTCTGAAAATCAAATTCCTCGCAGAACCCTGAAACTCATATAGATAAAATATACTGGTTTGAACTTAAATGCAATATTTCGTGATTAGATTATCATTTTTACAGCTCAGGTAGGATGATGTAGGAGTGAACTCAACCCAGTTAATGACCATAAATAATGACAGCATTATTCCTTTGTCTTGTCCTTTGCACACACTAATGTGCTCTGACAGCTAGCTTTGCTCTTTTATTAACTCTCTGTCAGCTGTAATCAGTTACGGTGAAGTAAGGCAGCAAAATTTACATGTGCCAAGTCTCACCATTTCTTTCAGAAATATTCCAGACTTCATCCTACACTTTGTTGGGAAGGAGATTGTGGGTGGAGGGCGGGAGGAGGGAAGAGATGGGTTGATATTGGGCGGATGGAGTGCTTAGTAGCTTGCAAAAGCTGGCTTGTTGCATACTGAATTTCAGAAAGAAAACACATGTAATAGAAATCTAATTAATGTATTTGTCTTAGAGAAGAATGCATATGCAGCTGTGCTCACCTACATCTATGGCAGTGGTTTTCAACCAGTGTGCCGTGGCACCCTGGGGTGCCTTGAATGATGGTCAGGGGTGCTGCAGGAAACACTGGCCTCTGTCCCTCTTTCCTTTCCTCACTTCCTTTGATGCCCTCTTGCATCACTGCCTCCCAAAGGCTTGCATAGCTGTTTGTGGCAGCAGCTCTGGCTACAAGCTCCCCAGGCGAATGGTGCCTCTGGGGCTGGCCAGGGAGTGCTTCCCAGGCCCCTGTGGGGCAGTCTGAGGAGGCACCTCTCTTTGGGGCAGGGGGGGGGCAGCTCAGAGACCGGGGCAGCAGCTGTGGCTGCCCGGAGGACTCCCAAGGCGAAAAGAGAGGGGAGAAGAGAGGAGGCTGAGGGAACACTCCACAAGGGAGGGTGTTTGAAAATGGGTGAGGGGCTGCCGGCTCTGCAGGCAATGGGAGACATAACTGGGCTCCTGAGCACCACAGGGGTGCCACAGAAAGAATGGGTCATGGGAGCCGTGGACCAAACAGGTTGAAAACTTCTGATCTATGGAAATCTCTCCTTCCTCCTTGGAGTACTGTTTTCTTGTAGGATTTTTGTTTTCAAAGTGTACGTTGTTGAAACGTTCAACACAGCTAGGTCCAATGAGATATAATGCCCCATGATTGGCGCTCCTGATATTTTGTTGCTGTCTTCCAAAAAGCAGCTGTGTGGTGCGCTTGTGTGAGAATAATGACTTGAACTGAGGACACGCACGTGAGTCAGAACGTTCTGCAGAGGCCTTTTTGGTGTGCTAATATTCTGTGATACTATGCAGCTTCTGCAAAAACAAACACAGTAACCAACCCGATGTGAAGCTCTACTATTAAAAGTCTGCAGATTAGTATTTGTAATGAAGAACCACCCCCCAGAGAAGAGACATCAGTGCTAATTAATGAATTATGAACCTCGCAGTTTTAAAACTAATTTTTGTGACACCTATTTCTGCTGGTAAGAAGAACATTTCCATCAACAGATCCTGTCAGGAGGCACTAATTAAAGCTGCTCCTTCTCTTAACTGTGTTTTAAGACAACAGCTCTTTTAAAAAATGGTTATAACAGCCAGGATTTTATTTAGATTCTCAGCGCAGTCCAATTTGCATAAATTCTAATAAAGCATTATTAAAATCTATTAACACTTGTCTATGGCAATTAATTTTAGGTTTGCTAGTTTGACTGACTGTGTTTCATGGCAGCCAAGATAAAGATGCATGGAAGACTAGCTCAGAATGCAGTGTAATTTCAGGAAGAGGAAGAATTCAGACCAACAGCATTTTAAGAAGGTCTTAAACTGTATAAAGGAAGAATAAATGCAGCCTGAGCTTCCAGTAGAAAATTCTTGACTCTTTATGGAGGGGAGATTCAATCCAGGCTCCCGTCAGATGTTTATTTTACAATGTATATATGATATATAAACCTAGTGAACATTATGATATTTCATTACCAAAACCCTAGCACACTATCCCCTGGAGAAAATAGCGTTTTTAAACT